TGACTTTCAATCAGGAAGCAACCTCCTGCTCCTTAGAGTATGAAATGGTAGAGCAGCACTGAGGACACATAGTAGTATCCATCTTCTCAGTGCCTCTTGGAACACCAGTAGTGCCCCTTGGGCTGCCAGGCGTAGTAGATACAGTAAATCTGCTGCTGTGTTGCAGTTCTTGGCTGAAACAAGCTCATACATTCAGTAAGAAGTAATGTGTGCATGCAGCTCAGGCCTTGGAGTAAGGTAACCAGAACTACTGGATCGCCTAAGTGTCCAAGTGAATCTGAGCATCTGTGAATCAGTGCTTTTTCAAAGCTTGAGAACTAGACCAAATAGTAGGAAACCCACTCTCATGCTTTGAAGTGAAGGTGTGCTGGGTGACCGTAGAGTGTCTGACTGTGTCCTGAGTAATGTGGACACTCAGCTGACACAAGCAGCAGTCACTTCCTCTACAAAAGGACCTGGTTGCTGGAAACTGTGGTGCCCTGCCACTGCTCCCAGTTCCCTGCTGGGGAGCCAGAGAGGGCTCTCTGGTGTCTCTGCAGGTTTAATGCCCAAGGAAGCTAGTGATGTGGCAAGAAAACAGTCTTGATTTGCTTCTGAAGGTCAAATCGGTGCATTCTCATAAAAAGTTCACCTTCTTCCAGCTCAGCATTTTCTAATGGACAGTTTTTGTCTTGGAAAATCTCTGGGATGAGAAGTAGTCCAAGGAAAAGATCACCTGTCCTGGAATATAACAATATATTTCTTCGTGTTCAGTACCTCTGAAAGAAATTACTTCATATAATAAAAGATCTGAAAAAAATTTTGGTTTTTATGGGAGGAAAAATCTCAGCTTGACAAGTAGAATTAACCTCTAAAATGACTTAAAAACATTTTAAAAAATATTGCCTGTAGGTTCCAGAAAAGCACAGAGCATGTGAAAGTGTTGAATTAGTGTTAAATTTTTATTTATGTTTAATTTTTTTTTCCTTTCTATTGCCACTTCACACCACCACTCATAAAAAATTAACTTAACTTCAGAGCCAAAGACAGTTTTGAGTCTGTTTGTTTCAAGGGACTGTTTTAGATAGACACAGAGAACATTTATGTAAAACAAAAATTATCCAGACCTATTTTGATTAAGATCAAGTGTATTTGTGTTGTATTTTATGCAATCTGAAATAGTGAGACTATGATACGTCAATACTTGAGAATGGGCTTTGTGTGTTGGTTTTTTTTTTTGCTTTTGTTTGGTGTAATGTTTGTTTATGTTTTTGGAGTGATGTCTAGTTTCTGTTTTGGAAGCAGAAAAGAGTCAAGCAGTGAGGTTTTATTATTACAGATGATAGATGGTCAAGGAGTCATGCTGTTTCTGATTACAGTTTAGAAATAGTAGTGGTTTTCCATTAGAACAAATTCTTGAAAAAAATCAATAAAATAAAATGCTTTTAGCATTAAAAAAAAAAAAGACTCTGTTGTATTTTTTTCAATTATGCCAAATCATTGATCAAGTTGCAGTAATTTATTATTTGGACTTCTAGAGTTTGAATTAAATTGAACCCACTTATTGTATGATGTTGATTCTGACCAGAGCAAATAAAGATCTAGCAGCACTTAGTATCACTTATGAAATTCATGAAGTTGCATACAGTTAGCTCAGTTAAATAATGCTTGTCTCTTTATACATCTTTCCAGTAGTGCTTCAATAGCTATCCTTACTAAAATACTCCACCTGCAAGAGTGTAATACATCGATGAAAATAGTGTAACAAACTTAATTACTCCAGCACTGCAGATGAAAGGCATTTTAAGTTGGATATGATTTTAATATTAGCTCTGCCTTAGGAGTTGTTATTTTTTTCCTCAATATTGGAAGACTTTGCTGCACATTTTCATGAAAAAGATAGCACCTGGTAGAAGATGAGATTTTTCGTGTGAAAGATCAACTTGATACTCCCCTCGAACTGCAGCTTATTTAGGTAGCTTGGAGTTGCATTTTGAACTTCCTTATTGCAGAAATAGTTTTCTGATTTTTACATTACTGTTTGAAGACTAGTACAATGTTAATGTAATGTTAGAGACTCCAAATTTAGCTTATTTTCTTTCAGTTTTTGAAGGAAACAAGGTCTTAGAATATCATGCCTACAATCGGAAACCTCTTGACTGGTTTCATGTAAACTTGCTGCGGCAGTAGAGGTATTGGTTGTGTGAAGTGGGGGGAAGTCAATGACTTAAAGCAAGGCAAAGTCAGCCGTAATCCTCTGTAATTAGTGTGACTGGCAGGTGATAGCCAGTGGCCATCTGGCCATTTACCATATGTGGTGGGCAGCCAGACTGTCCATGGGTATTTCAGACTGGCCACAGAAAGTGGTGTGTCTTGAGTAGCCCGCAAACCAGACTATGAGTGTGTGATGTTTGGGTGAACAACCTGCACAGAGAGGAGTGCAGGACCTGAGAGTACAGAGGGGAGCAGCAACCTGGGAATGCTGTAAACTTGTGAAGAGCCAGAGGGTGTTGTGGGGTGAGGAGAGGCTGGTAGTACCAGGTAGATCTGGAGATAAAGCACTCAGAGGCTAGAGGAAATGTGGAGTTGGAGGTAGCCGGAGTGGCAGGGTGTAATGTTGCCTAGTTGGCTCCATCGCCTGCCCTTATCTTATCCAGTGTGTTGATGACTGTCTCCACAGAGGGTATTTGAACATTAGTGCTTTTGTTTCCCCTCTGTTTTTCTAATGTATGTACTGGGTGATCTGGTACCCTTGGTAGCTCCTCTGTGGTAGAGTTGTTAAAGGTCCTTAGCACTGACTGAAGGCACAGCCAGGTGACTCTGAAATAGCTCCTTTATTTCTGTGTTCTGTTGGGAGCACAGAGAAGAGGAGAAAACCAGCCAGCAAAAAAGCACAACTTTTTCCATTATTCTGGACAAAGGTAGAATTGATGTGTTCTTCCACATCAGGTGTGCCCTTCCACCTGCAATCTAGTTATGTCTGCTCAGGACAATGGAACTAAAGGGATCCCATCCGTAATACACTTATCAGTAGGGTGGATTAGCAACAGATGACAGGGGCTGCTCTACAAGGTCATAAGGCTGAGAAGTCTGTTCATAAACATTCAAGCAGTGTTATCCATATGTGGAAAATCAACGGTTCATACTAGAATTTTTTAATTTTTGATGGAATGAATGTCCAAAGGACCTTTCAAAAAATAAATCTGACCATAGCCAAGAAGTAATGGAAGAGATGGTAGAATTACTTGCTCTGACTAATACTTATATATGTAATTTCAGCTGCCAGAACTTGTATTGCTTTAATAAAAATGCCTCATTAGGAATAAGAAAGCAACCAATTAACCATCTAAAACTGGTCTGAAATACTACTAGATCTTGACCTTATTGAAACAGGCTACCTGTTTTCACCTTCTACAGGGTCCCAAAGGTTTGTATGAGTGTAATTCTGAACTTCTGAGTAGAGAATGGGATTTGAATAAAAATGAAATTAAAATGGATGTAATAGGAATGTGTTCTCTTCTGCCCCATACTGCAATGCCATTGGCTTGCAGTGAAGTAGTAGTCAATATTTTTCCACAGACTTGGAAGCAGAGGTTTCAAGTTTTTTTCTAATGGACACTGTGTTATTTTGTGAAGTCACTAACAAAGATTTATTGCTGTCAAGTACAATTGTGGCAATTTCAGGAGGTTAAGTACTAAACTTGTAAACCTGCTTAGCTAAAATTCTTAAAGATTTTGTGAAGAGCCAGATAGGTTTGTGATGGTTTATTCTACCACTTGTACCACTTGTTGTGCATAGACTTTAAAAGAATTAATTCTTCAGGACAATTGATGTGGCATTTTGTGAACATGACTTTTTTTTGGTAACAAGTGTTTTAGGTCTCCATTGTTAATCTCATTCCCAAATTCATCATCCTCCCCCTTTTGTCTAAAATGTGACTGTTGAAGAGAGTTCCTTTTGAACTTTTGAGTCCCAACACACATGCATATATTTTCCCCTATCCAATCTTAATTTTGGTCCATCTTTTGACTTGCTCTAACAGTAAAATTTCAAAACTATCCATTGACTCTGGGGGCTGAACTCAAGCAGCAAATGCTTGCTTGCTTTGGAGCACTAATTAACTTTCTGGTTGTGATACCAGTCACATTTTAAGACTTAGGGTATACACCGGCTATTTTTTTTCAGTATAACTGCCAAAAATCTTCCATAACCAGGCTTGATGATATGATTAAAAGCAGTTCACAGATTTTCATGGTTCAGTAAAAAAATAACCCTTCTGTCTCATCTGCTTTGGAATATAAGCCATAGCTAGTACAGGTGACATGGTGTCATTGCTGGAAAATAGTCTCCAGCGTGAATGCACCCTGTCTGAAATACCTACAGTGCTGAAAGTGATAATGGTAACGTTGTCTGAACACCTCAGTTTTGTAGATGTGAGCATGAAAGCTAGGTATCTGCTTTCAAAAGACTTACCACATAGTGGTTGCTCACTCTTTTCATTCACTTCTGCTAGTAGCTTTAGAACTGTGGCTGAATTGCTGTGGTTGATCCAAAAAAGCTGTGAAAGCTCGAATCATAATCAGTGCATTGCTCATTTTATAGGTGTCCAGCTGTGTTTGATAAGCATGTATCCATTTCTTTTTTCATTTTTTCGGGGCTAGTAAAAGAAAAAAAAGAAAAAAAAGAAAAAAACAAACAAAAAACCAACCAAACCCCAGCAACACAAACCCAGCTTCATCTGCTGGTACATTTTCATTGGACAGCTTCATTTTCAGACTCATGTAGAACTGTTTGGTGGCCTTTCTTGTTGAAGTTAGTACAGGATAAGTAGTCCTGATACCAAAACTTTGAAAGTACTGCTCCATTTTTTTTTTCCTGAAGTTCACACGTATAGAAGGAAATGTTCAATATAGAGTGTCTAGTGAGTGTGGGGGTGTTTTTATTAAAATGTAGACAAAGTTAATTCTGTACTTTGCAAATTGGTGGAATATTTGTGCCAGTGTTTGCTGCTGCTTCTTAGGGACACAGCAGGTCAGGAGAGATTCAACAGCATTACCTCAGCTTATTACAGAAGTGCCAAGGGAATTATTTTGGTGTATGATATCACCAAGAAGGAAACCTTTGACGATTTACCAAAATGGATGAAAATGATTGATAAGGTAAGCTTTAAGTATTTTCTTTTTACATGTTTTTTTTAAGAAACCATTTTTTTTCTCAAAGGTACTCTGTAGGACTTTTAGGATATAGGATTATTACATTAATGCCAACTAATTTTCACTGGATTCTTTTAGCTGGAATTTAACGTTAATGTGTTTTTGTTGCAATTTTCCTGCTTCCTTAAATTAGAATTGTCTCAGTTAGAAGTGTCAGTGGAAATCTGTAACATCACTCATTCACCCGTGCATTGGGGGAGAAAAAAATATTTTATTTCCTGTCTGTGAAATAAGGTCATTTGTTTGTTCTTAGATAAACTAGAACAACAGATCTTAAGTCATGTTTTTTAAATGGAATTTAAAAATGGAAGTTGAAAATTTTTGAAATAACGTTTGGGAATAATTTTATATATACACTGTGTAGGTGTGGTTTCTTATTTAGTAGAGGAATTGCCCTTTTTTAATATTGTGTTGGCATTACATAATCTTACATTTCTAGGCTTGGTTAATTAAAAATGTTGTAATTGCAGTATGCTTCAGAAGATGCAGAGCTTCTATTAGTTGGAAATAAACTGGACTGTGAAGTTGATCGAGAGATTTCTCGACAGCAGGGAGAAAAGGTGAGAACAGTTCTAACTGAATTGTTAATTGCTATTAGAAGCAAAACTGCTGTGGCATTGCTGCTGACAGTCCATGGCTACTCTTCTTCAGACTGTTAGACCCAAGAAGCAGATTGAGAGTGGTAGTGTTCTGTCAAAAATCCATATGGTATTTACTTTTATAGAATGTGCAGTTATATGCTTTCCTGCTGGAGCAGTATGTCTTTGCTCTAAAGAAAGAATAAACTACAAGCTGGCTTACACTACACAGTAGTGCAGGGAATACTCCTTTTTGAGCTCTGAAGGAGGATATGGTGAAGACTGGAATCACAAATGCAGATATCTCTACTCAGGATGTCTTTGTGAGCCTTCTTTTCAGTAGTATTTTAAGCCAGGCAACAGCCCTGCTTGATTACTTAGCTCACCTTTGTTTTCATGTGTCTTTTGTTGTCTTACAACTCCAAAAGTGGTAAGGAACCTGGTAAGAGAATATGTTTGAGCGTAACACTCAGCACCACCTTGATCAGGACACTACCAGTACAGATATACACAAATGTTTTCCTTCAGCTACCCATCATGCATTTGGAAGTAAAGCATTTTCTGTTAGAGTCAAGGCTAATTCTTGCATCTGCACATCCCTTTTCTGCATTTTAATAATAAGGTTGAGATTAACTCTTCTGAAAAGTTCTTACTTTTTGGCAATCTGCAGCAGTCTACATCAGCTGAAGACTTGAATTTCTCAGATTTAAGCCTGGAAAAATGCAGAAAAGTAAACCAATTTTAAGTGAAAATTAGCTATATATGTCAATATTTGCTGTACCTTGGAGATTCATGATTATTAATCAATTTAGACTTCAGTCACAGTTTTGGGGAAAGTTGTGGAATTTTTTTAAAGGTTTTATGAGGAGTGTGTATTTGCTATTTGTTGCTGTTTGTGCATGTCTTCATGTAGTTTGTTTTACTTTGTCTTCCATCAGTTTGCACAGCAAATAACTGGGATGCGGTTCTGTGAAGCAAGTGCCAAGGATAATTTTAATGTGGATGAAATATTTCTAAAACTTGTTGATGACATTCTGAAAAAGGTAAAATATTCAGATAGTTCCTCTGACCACATAAATGGTCAATGTTGAAATAATGACTGCAGGTGCCTCTTGGGAGGACATAAAGGGCGAGTATGCACAGGTGAAATTTTTGGGCGTGATGTAATTCACAGACTCTGCTGAAAACTGGTTAATAAACACTGCTGTTGAATTTGGTAAACATTTGATTCTATTTGCTGTACTTCCTCTTTGCTGTAACTTCCCTATGTATCAGCAGCTGACTGTACATTTGCCTGCTTTCATTTGTGGGAAGTTCTGTTGTAATTTGTTGTAATTGGTTTAGGAAATGGCTTTATTTTGACAATGTCTTGTAACTTTTTTCTGAAAGGAATTCTTAACACAACTTAATCGAATGTAGTTCACTAGTAAGAACAAAAAGTTCCTTACGCTGAGACTTTGGCTGAGTTAACTCTTGAAACAAGCTCTTTTTGCTGAGTTCTATGCAGATAACTGTTTACAGGTGATTTTTCTTTTCTTTAAGATGCCACTGGATGTTATAAGAAATGAGTTGTCCAACAGTATCCTGTCCTTGCAACCAGAGCCAGAAATCCCACCAGAACTGCCTCCTCCAAGGCCACATGTCCGTTGCTGTTGACTTGTTACTCCATACAGAGTGAAAAGTAGGAGCGGGAGGGTAAAGAAAGTACCTGTACTACTCTGCACTACAATCATTTGGCAGTTTCTTGTTGCACTTTGTTATTCGAGTCAGAGCTACACACTAACTTGTAAATATGCAAATATGCAATCCTGTGTAGGATTCAGCTATAACATTTAATTATTACCCCTTTCCCTCACAATGATGTTTCATTTATTGCCCCAGTGTTATAAATACTGTACAGTTGGTGGGGGTTTACCACACTTCCAGTCAAGGAGGAGAAATTAAATCTATACCTATTCTTGACATAAATGTTGTAATAGTTCTTGTTATTATAAACAGGCAGGCAGAAGCTCTTCTGGTATGAAGATAAATATATGGTGCTTTGCTAACTATTTTAAAGACAGTTTTTTTAAAAACAGAGGACTTTATGTACAAAGCTTCCATAATCAGCATTATGTCTCCTTTTAATGTAGTGAAAACATTTTTGGCTGTAGCATCCTCTGCTGACTGGATTTATTGAAAAGCTAAGTTTAATTTTTGGCAGTCTTTTATTTATTTTTGTTTAATGCTGCACCCTTTCTTTGTATACCAAGACATCACATCTGGTGCAGATCTAAGATTGCACTCTGAAATAGCATAAATTATTTTCTGCGTAAGCATAAACTTGGTTGCAAGAATCATTAAGTTTCAGTAAAAGAATGGAGATATATTCAAGCTCTAAAAGAAGGTATAAAAAGCAATGCTGCTGTCCTAGACAAATTATTGAAAAAAAAAAAAACTATGATACATTTTCCTGTGTTAAGGAATATATATGTGTATTTGTCTGGACAACTGTAGGGTTGGGGGAAGGGAACCTAAGGTAAAATTATTTTCTTTCCTGATGGTGGAAATTATTCCTATCAAGCAAATACTGTGTTAGGTTTTTGTCTGATAATGAATTTGTGAATTATATCTTTGGTATATCTTTTATTAAAATGCACTGTTTAGTTTAGCTGTGGTAAATCAGTAGTTACATATTTGAATAACTTGGTGTGTCCTGAATGTTGTGGTATTGAAAAACATTGTGGTCTTTCTAAACTAATGAAGTGCAAATAAAATTTTGTATTTATGAATGACAATGGAACTGCACCTGTTATTAGAATGGCAAGTATCAAATGATGGGTAAAAGGTAGGCTCTGGAATATGGAACAACACTTGTTTTAATTTTGTTATGATTTAATTTTCAGTTTGAGAGTTCCTTTAGGTGTAGCTAGAAGAACAGCAGACGTTAGTTGTTCACCTTGATCACTGCTCTGTTGGGAGAACAGCTGATGACCTCGCCCAGCTGATATCTTCAAGTAGCATGTGACTTCTTGTCACGCTATCTTAGCAGGTGGTCGCCAAAGTATTAATTACACTGGCAACACAAGTATGAACCAGCCTTTTTCGCACTACAGCTTCTCTACTTCTCATTCTCTGGTGCTGGAACCCATTTTGTCACTTTTGACACTCTTCTAGCCAGAATGCTGGCACTGACCAGTAAGGTATACCACTGACTTAAACACCTTATGTCTGTTTTCTGTAAGAAAGACACAACAAACTGTTAACATTAAAAAAAAAAAAAAAATAATTGAGCCCTTATTTCACTGAGTAAGCTCTGACATTCTAAATACAATACCATGCAGGTGGTCTTTAGCACACCTGGATTGCAACTGACAAATTAAGGAAGCATGGTTGATATTTGTGCTTATGTCTTCTGCCACCTTGTGCCTAAATGGTTTGCTTTTCTACACAGTAAACGTACAGTTTACTATTATATTGGTAAGATTAAAAATCAATGTCTGAAAAACTTGGAGGATTTCTAATCGTACTGTGGTCAATAGCAAGGAAGGGAAAAATATGGAAAATTAGTTTTCACTTGACAGCCATTTTATTTTAGCTGATTCGTTTTTATTTGTACTTAGAAACTTGTGATTTTTTTCCTGCAGTTTTTGAATTTAATAAAAATTGAGAAATTTGCCTTAGATACACTTTCTTGTAATTTTGTGCTGTTTGTATATAGGTAGATTGGGATCACAGTCTCTTGTACCAAAAGTTAAAAATTATTGCATTTAAGAAAGACATATTTTTGTAAGAATGCCTGAATGTATTTGATTATTAATTGGAACTCATAAAAAGTTCAGGAAAACTGTTTGCTTTGCATCCATTATACTATGAGACTGAAGAGGGGTTTGTGTCCTAATTTTACCTCTGCAGCTTTTAAATGAGTCAAAAAAAATCATGTATATCCTTGCTCCCACTTAACAGGCATTTGCAGTGTGGCGTGGAAAAATAGGTGGGGGGAAAAAAGTTATTCTTGCTGCTCTGTTGCCTCATATGGAAGTTCAGCTGTCAGCCCAACCCTTGTTGGCATGTAATGATGCACAACCATTGGGAGATCACAGGATGAAGAAGAGGGAAGATGAGTACTAGCTGGAGCTTTAAGTCTGTTCTAACTTGTGTTAGCAGATCGCTGTTCTTTAGGAGCCTTGGTTAAAGGTAACCCATACCCATTCTTCAGGGGGTGTGTAGAGATTGTATCCTTGTAATACTGAGCCCAACATGCTTTACCGCTAAACTCGTGAGATGCTGCTGAGGTCTTCTAGTCCCTGGCAGTTTCTTCATGCTGGAGAAAATACACAGGAGTGTCTTTTGATAAGCAAGCGTGGCAAGCAGAAATCACAGGAGTGTCAGAAATAGGATAGTAATATCTGCTCCAAAGTAGTGGTGGTTTCTTGACTTCCATTAAATAATGGTGGGTAGATCGTGGCCATTGAATGATGGTTTGCCACTGATTTCAGTGGGGCTAGGATTTAATCCAGTAACTTCCCAAAACATCACTGTTTCAGTGGTATGTCCAGTTAGCACTGCATCTTGTACCAAAACCAAAGTTCATCGGTATCAAGAGGCTGATACAATATTTGATTGTGTCCATAAAATTTTAGATCTGCCTGTAATGGACATTCAACCAGTGGGTTGAATTAACACATCCTTTCTTCATAGGTGAACAGAAGGAAAGTAGGAAAACTGAAAATTTCTCTTGTGTAATAGTGAGTCAAGATACAGAACAAGCTGAAAACCACTGGCATACCAGGACATCTTGAATTATGCAGTGTTGTGCTGTGTGCGCTATAGGAATGGTGACGGTCACATCTTCATTTCGCTGGATGTCTGCTCCTGCAGAGCAGAGATACATAACTAATGTCAGCATTTGGTACTTCTGAGGAAGGAGGATGAGAAGAAGGTGGAAAAAAGGAGTGGAAGTTAAAAGCTAGGATACTGTAACTTGCTAATGCAAATTTAGGGCTGTGTGTTTGTGCTCTTACTGGAGATTTCAGCATTCCCTCAGTTTAATTTAATCTGTTACTTATGTTACTGCACTGAGGGGGCAGGAATTTCTGGCAGTGAAGGGTTTGCCTTAATTAGTTTGCCTTTTTATCATAAACTGATCATTACTTAAAGTGCTAGATTTAAGCAGGATTGGGAATTTGGTAGGTCTTTCTGACTTGAGCAAGGATTTCTAGTTAATCCAGTTAGCCTTGGAAGCCAATAGTTGTTTTACAGACTAACGCTATTGGTTGTCTAAACTGGGCTGTTCTGCTCGCTCTCAGTGCTAGCATCAGCTCTGTGGTCCTTTCATTGTATGCCTTTACCTTTCTTGTGTCAAAATCTCACTGAGACAAGGAAGATTTATAGCAGGTACATTTCTGAGGTGGGAAGGAAAGCAAGGTAGGTAGGAAAAGGGAACAGAGCAACCAAGCTAGTAAAAAAAGAACATAAAAACTTTTTCTGCAAGGAGAATGGGAAATGCAGTCTGTGAGAGACTAAAATAAACTGCACCAACCAGCATGAATTCATTCTCCCTTCTTGTGTTGGCAGTTTTTCATTCAGTGGGAACAGTGGTAGTTTTGCTGAAGAATCCCTTCCCTGTAATGAAGACAGCTCATTGCCATACTAATGGCAGGTATAATCTCACTTTGGGGAGAAAAGGCAGAAATACTTGGACTGTGTCTTTTGAATTTCTGCTGTCCTTTATACAGACTCTTGATTGTGCTGACTGCAAGTCTTCCTTTTAAAATAGTGTAAATGGGAAAATTTGAGATGTTAGTCCTTAACATGTTTTATTTCTTGTTGAAAGTTGTAAAACCGGTTGGTTCTAGTTTTCAAAAAGTTGAATTTGGTTTGTCCTAACTAGGTGTCAGAATGGCTGTGTTAAACATAGGGTTTGTTAACCTTTCTCTTCCTTCTGGTTTAGAACATTTCAAATGATCAAAATATGGAGTTGGCATCCTAGTAGGTACAGTCGTCTTGAGTGTGAGCTATAAATATTTTCACACTAAACAGGGAAAAGCCTAAGTGCCAGAATTGATATTAGGCTGAAACGAGAAGTTTTGAGTGCTGTGAGTTTTTTACGGCATGGCTTGGATTTCCTGCCAGGGCAGGTGCACCGGTGGAAGTTGTCCATTAGGGGTCACTGGAGCTCCACCAGTGAAGGAGTCGGTTACCTGTCCTGTTGGATTTGCAATTGCTTCTTGCTGCTTTCTACTGAGTAAATGTCTCTTTTGTCAAAACTCCTGCAGCTTTTCCAAAGCAACGACTTGAAGTATAATAATGGTGAATAGCTGTGGACACTGAAAAGACAGCCAAAGAAATGCGCGAGTGTGTTGTGTTGATAAAAGGAAGGAAATATTGAAGGATTAAAAATAGAGACTTCTTCTGTATGCGAAGTTGTGTTTGCTTAAGTATCTTTTCTTACAGAAAGAATATTTTTAGCTAACTTCCAATCATCTGGATCATAGAATCACAGAATGGTTTGGGTTGGAAAGGACCTTATCATGGAGTTCCAACCCCCCTGCCATGGGCAGGGACACCCTCCACTAGACCAGGTTGCTCAAAGCCTCTTCCGGCCTGGCCTTGAACGCCTCCGGGATGGGGCATCCACAGCTTCCCTGGGCAACCTGTTCCAGTGCCTCACCACCCTCACAGTGAAAAATTTCTTCCTAATGTCTAGTCCAAATCTACCTTCTGGATGATAGATGTAATTTGTTTAGTTGTACTTCTTGAGGATCCCCTTTGATGACTTATTCAAAAATCAGTAAGTATCCAGATGGGCCTTCTTCATTTCCTAATAAATTAATCAAAACTTCAAAAAACCTCAGTGTGATTTATTACTTGTGTTTCTATCAGGACTCATAATATCTTTTTTAATTCTTAGAATTAAGAATAATTTATTATTCTTAAAATCTATTCTTTGTACTGTTTAGGTGGTCTTGAGTGAAATTATTTTTCCTTCCAACTCTGGCAAAGTGTACATAAACTATCTCTGAAAGGTGTTTTTCCTTGAAATTGTAAAGGTAAAATTTTCATTTTAATTCTAAGTACTTCAGAGATCCAATTGTACACATTATTGTTCAAGGATGCTGTTCTGTCACAGAGGATTAAAGGGTCAATGCTATTAAAAAAATGTTATGTCAGTCTGGATAAGTGCCAACCCTTGCAAAAGAATCCAGCTTTCTGGAGATCCTAACAGATAGTTATGAAACATTTAGTTTTTATTTTATTTATAATTTTAAATTTTTATTTCCTAAGATTATTTTGGTCTCTTAGAAAGGAGGAATCCTGTTTGGTGTTGGCTATGATTTTTGGTGTTATGAGGGAATTAAGATGCTGCTTTAGATTAAAATGGTTATGTTTTCCTCTAGCCCAGAGCTCCTTATCATGTTCTCTGAAGCCTTCTCATGTTGCATTTAAGGGTTATAAAATCTGCAATGTGTGTCTCAATGTGTTAGTGCACACAATCATACAGACACCTTCCCTAGCTGGCATAAAATTATGGGTCCCTAAAAGCTGCCTAATACTGAAGAAAACAGTCAGTTTTCTTTCTTGGGGACAGTGATGCAAATTCACCGTAGCTATGTAAACACAGCTTTATGGAATTGTCCAAGCTCGCAAGAAGTGAGGGGGAAGGCAGCGGGGCTACCAAAATGTGTTACCTGCCAAATTATGAAATTACTGACTTTATGCAGCAGGTTTCTGACTATAGTCGCTGCATCTGCCCCTGATGGGGTTGCTAGTGGCATGTCAGGAGGGGAACAAAATC